GCATCAAGATTTTTTGTAATTTTAAAGAAAACGCCTAAAGCTCTCATTCCTAGACAAGACTGGGAGGTAAAGATATAAGACAACCATGAGAGCTAGTGATCATTAGTGACGTCCGAAAAGAAAAATGTACGTAGCATATACGAGGAACATTACTAAGGGAATGCATGATGTCGAATACTCCAAAGAGTAATTTGAAAATTACTCTCTTAATGAGAGATAATGTTGCGATAATAAATTACATGATTGAATTCTCTTAACGTCTAAATGCGCGAAAAAAAATAAATATGTTTAATAACCAAAATTTATATCGCTAAACGTATCGTCTATTTTTTGGTGTTTTACGACATCTTCGTCTTCCGAAAATTGCAATAATACAGATAACTACTATCGCAATGAGAACTGCGCTTACGGCCCATACCGCTTTACTAGTATTAATCTTTGGTGTGTCATTTTGTGTATTGTCCGTGATATTGGGTATCGCTGGTGATTCCTTATTAGATACCTGAGTTGGTAAAGTCAACCCATCCTTTGGCTCGTCTTTCATATATATAGATGATTTAGATTCTAAAGGTTTTTCTACTTTTGATTGCATATTTTTCTCATTACTCGTTGTATTGTATGATGAAGCTTTGGTCGTTATTCTATTTGTAGTAGTAGTTGGCGGTGGCGTTGTAGTAGGAGTGTTTATTTCTCGCAGAATATGTTTTTCCAACTCTTCAAGCTCTTTATCCGCTGCTGCTCCAGATTTATACGCAAAGTCCTCTTCATTTTCTTCGATGAATTCTTCCAGCGGTGTAAAATATGAAAGAAGCGCATCGACAGATATGTCGTCCATCTCAACGAATTTATTCAAAATGTCTGGCCACTCGCAGTCGCCACTATGCTGAATCATTTTTCTATATACAGAAAGTATATAAATATATAAAGTTATATAGTTTCGAAAAAAAATTTCTTTGCAAAAATGTGTATCCAAGTGTATGCATATATTATTTTTATATTATATCAACTTACATTATAGCGCTACTCATCAATTTTTCATCGATAGCGTCATATCTGACTTCAGTCGAGTCCAGAGTATATTCATACAATTGAAAAGATAGCATTGTGCCAAGAATTTTGCTGCATGAAACATTTTCCGTTGATCATTATGATACATACTAATATATTCAATACATTACTTACTTAGCATACTTACGGAAGATATGGCTTATTTCTAACAATATAATTATCGTTCATAAAGGTAGGATTATCCATATTAGTAGAAGAGATACCCTCGTATTCTTGTCTAAAACATACATATAAAACAGAATATAAAAGATTGTAGTTGTAAAAATAAACTGATTTTCTACAATATCATGCGTATTACCTGTACTTCCACCAAGATGCTATCAATTGTGCCGGATCAGTAATATTCTCTTGAATCGCATTTAATCTCCATAAATCGGCAGAATAATAATATGCTAATCGCGGAAGTATACTCAGAGCGGTTATCATTAAAGACACGATTTTATATTGTTCATTATTTTCCTTGGTATTATTTATTAAATGAATATGATTGAGCCATGCAGGACTTGCCGATAGTATCCCAAATAATGTCGATATACCTTCTTCTAATCCTGTAAAATCAAATATCTTTAGTGCATTTTATTTTTTCTTTTTGCAGATAATTGAAGCGCACACATTTAATAATTCCAATATCTTCTTACCTGAATATCTGTTAACCATATTGAGAACAGGAGTATTCTGTACAGTCATTTGATTAAATAATATTTTTCCAACGTCTTCGTGAGCTGTCAAGAAATTGCTCGTGCTAGCTTTGGAGCAAGTAGAAATTCTAAAATAATATTCTAATTTAATAATGTATATATTTGTATTTTACAAAACATAATAACAGTAGACAGACTTTAAATCTCAAACTAAATTTTGAAACGTACCTCATTCCATCTCGACAAAAGTTTAACAATCTTGATGGACATTGTTGGTTAAATTCACTTTTATCCCAAAATTCAGCTTGTGGAACTTGTCTCAACAAAATCGAGCCTAAATTGGATGCAATCTTGTACAGGGATTTTCCCACATATTTCTATATCATTTATAAAAGAAAATTTTGAATATCACTATATATAATAATCTAAACACAATTTACAAATTTGACATAATTTGAAAAACAGCTACCTTTCTCCAGAGGTTTTTTTTAAGATCATAGATCAATTCTGAATAAGGCAACGCGTCTGATGATATATCCATCCAATCGTATCCTTGTAAGCTACCTTTCAAATAAAAGCGTACAAATTCAAGTTATAGAATGAATGTAGAATATAAAAATGGATATTATAAGAATTAATTAAATTTTCAATTGTTTATCATTTTTAGAATACAATTATATTTAATCTTACCGAGTAAATAAGCAGGAATTGTATCATTTATAGTAATATCGTACTTTCGTGCCAAGTTTGTACCGATAAATTTTACAATCTTTTTATGAAGAGTATTAATCCGACTCCATTCACTATTTATCACGTCATATCCACCAGGATATCCTGACAACATTTCCCAGTATTCCTTGACACTTTTGACACCTACAATAGAATATTTAAAAATAACGCGTATTCAAAGTTTAATATATATTTATAATAATATTTGTATATTTTGCATACATGTCACGACATGTTTTTATCCGTACTGACCATTTTGTTTTGCTGCTTCGGCAACTAGTGGCAAATTGTTTGAATAATTAGTCACTAATGATTTAAACTGAAGATACCAAGTATTCCAGGCGGCTTGCTTATCTTCAGATTTTCCACTATGAGAGAGCAAATATTCCGTGTCTAAAAAAATAACAGTTGACACACAAATGAATATCATACAATTTATAAACTACTATGTTAAACTACTATGTCTTTATTAAATTACATGCGATATTTATGTTACTTTAATTATTTTTACAAACACATATACGCGCGCACGCACACGTCGCGCGCGCGATAAATAAATAATTAAAAATGAAAAAAAAAAAAACCTTCTCGTGAATAGTTTCGCGATTTATTCACTGATAATTGATGACTGATTGATTGTAACTCCACCATACCAGCAAAATGTATAAACTGTAAAACAATTATGAAATAATTTAGTGTCAAATTATATGTTAATTGAAAGACAAGTCTTTTACCTTTTTCCAATCTTCATCTTTTAGTAGGGTATCACCAGGTTTCTCAATTACGTCATATTTATATCGAAGAGACGGTTTCAACTGCTCTGTCATATTCTTTTGTATCCTGTCAATTACCTCATTTTTCATTGCTTTTGTAAATTTTGTGTAAGTATATTGTTCATTCTCCTAAAACATGACGAGAAATACCTTGATTTGTGAAAATCTTTAGGCATTAAGCGACAGATGACTTATTAACTATATTTACCCATGTCGATAATGTTTTATTGGAAGGTGATACGATAAATGACCACTGAACATTGGCAATATTGTAACATTCATCTTCGTAGTCTAACTCGATTAGTTCGAAGAAAGCTTTAGCTTCGTTCTCCGGGACAGTTTCCTCATTGTACGGGGCAGTAGTTACGTAGACTAAAAGATTAAAAAGGATCCAGCTCCATTTCGATAGCATCTCTTTGGTCTGTAAATGAAACATTTGACCTGTAAATATTTACATTTTCGATACTCCACTTTGAACTCTGAGCACAATGATAGCAACAACATCAAGAACAGAAATAAGGGCCGGCTTATCGAATAATAGCACTAAGAACACATAATAAATCATATAAACATGGGATTAAAATCGTGCAGTCCAATCTTTCAAAACAATTTATTTCGAAGATAAATGATAAAGTAAGTAGGCTAATTTAATGGGATGCATCCTGCATAATAAATCCGCTATTAAAACGGGAGCGATTACACAATTAGAACACATTTAGAAAACTTGGGAACATTTATGACGTAAAAGGTATGCAATGATATCGCTACCAAACGTTACGCGGCAAATGAATTAGTCATCTGCACCGCCATTGGTCGTCACGATGACTCGTTCGATGCACGTAAATTCTACGAAAAGTAAAATATTCATCTATGATATTCTTAATACTTTTTTTAGATAAAGAAATTATTAAATCATTAAAGAAAATGCATTTAAATGAAAAATAATTGGCACGTGTGAAATTATGTAATTCATGTTTTAAGTTGTTAGGTTGAGAAACTTAAGTTGAGAAACTTTAATGTAAATTTCTTGAAATACATCAAATATTACGAAAGGAAAAAAGAAAAAAGAAAAAAAAAAAAAAAGAAAAAAAAAACAAAAAAAAAAGTAAAATAAAAAGAAGAAGAAGAAGAAGAGGTAATTAAGTAAGAGAGAGAGAGAGAGAGAGAGAGAGAAATGAGATTTGTCACATATAACGCGTGCTTAATTCGTTGTATTACTTGGACCAAGATATATTTCTGTCTTGGCTATGCTCTCTCATAAGAGTAAAACGACGCAATCCGAGAGTCAAGAGTAGTCGATCATGAGAAACCATGCTCGATCAATCGCGACGACGATTTTTCCGTTCGGCTACTCGGGCATTCCAGTCTGCATGAAATGAAATCGATAAATCGATAAATAATATAAAGAGAAAAAAGAAACCGGTTTGTGCACACCAACGCGAAAATACAAAAAGCGTAAAAGTATTTGTTTAGAAAAATATCCGATTCCTTAGTCTTCTTCGATTCCGTATTTCGTAATGTCCTTCCTTGCTTTTACAAGCTTTTAATAGCGCGCGAGTTCTTTACCTGAATAATTCAAAAACTTCAAAAAGGTCTTCCTTTCTCTCTTTTAGAGAATTTTATTTATACTCGACTAAGAACTCGTGTAAGCTATAAATGAGGAAATAAAGACTTCCAAGTTGGAAGTTTCGATTCGCTCGTCTTATTACTATATAGAACGCGATTTAATGAACATCTTCCTGTTTTGTTGGCACATAGAAATTTTCATACAACATCAGTCACACAACGAATCGCTTGTGTTTAGCTTGTGTTGTTTAGTTATTACGGTCGTATTATACGAGTGACGAGTCAATTCCCATCTGAAATATTTCACAATATAAATATTCCTTTCAAGGATTATTATTCAAAAATAAGAGCAACAAGCGACCTAAGGTATAAACACGTAAAGATAATATACATTTTTGAAGAATATATAAAGCGTAATAATTAATTTTTAATAAATGCAAACACAATGCAGAACGTGGGAAACAAAGTGTGTTGACACATTCAACAAAAATATCACGTTATACGTACAAAGAGATCAGAGATTGAACATCTTTGTTTTCATAGCCGCGCCTCTTTGTGCGCGGCTTTTCGTAGTTGAAATAAGTGAAAAGTCAGATTTCGGAGCAAGTGTGAGAAGACAAAAAAAAAAAAAAAAGAAAGAGAGAGAGAAAAAAAACTGAACAGGAAATGTAAAAAGATTAGATAGAACCATCGTATTTACCTTTGATAATCGAGCGTCGGTCACGCTCGATTTCCGCGGTTAAGCTCGCTCCGAACGACAAACAGAAACGAACAGAATGTGGACAACGAGAGTCGACCGTTGACAAAGAGAATGGACCGATGACCGTTTGGCGCGCGGGATTGTCTCACGATGGTCAAAGTACGAGTCGAGTGATCAGTTAAAGAGGCGGGTCCACTGATCGATGGACTCGTGGCGTTTAATAGGCCGGCGGTGCGTGCCGCGTTATCGCGAGATCTCGTCTCTCCGATCGCTGCCTGACGTCGCGCGACACACGTCCGCCGTGCGACTGACTAACTGGCTGACTGACTGACTGACTGACTGCCAAGTCCGATCGATCGGAATTCCTTCGCATCACGCCACTATTTCCAACGTCAGTGCATGACGAAGCGTATCTCGCTCGCCCTGCTAGCGCGCGTACGACGTACGCCATTATATATGTACGTGTCTACCAGTCTACCTACCTACCTACCCGCCTATTCTCTCGCCTATTCGCCTACCTGTTCATCTGCCCACCTGCACAGCTCGTAGCGACAGTTTAACCGCACTCTCCGTATCTGCGATCGCGAACAACGTGGAGGCTCGCCTGCTCGCGTCCACCCGTCCACCGTCTATTCGCGCCACTCGAATAGAGAATTACTTTCAGTCGGCGATATTTTCCGGCGTTTTCCGTTCAGACGGACGTTTTCCACTGGCGACATTGGTTATGTCAGCCTAGTTACTTTCAGTCGATACGGACTCCCGCGTTGATTCGAGTTACTTCGAGTCGATAGCCTCTAGCGAGGGTGAATAACGTTTATGTAAAACGTTTATATTTTTTATGATAAACGATATGATAAATTCATAAATGCGAGACGATGAAGAAACTACTTGATTTGCATTTTTTGCATTTTTTTGTACGCGCAAATATAATAATCAAAAAAATATAATATATATAAATATAATGTAAATGTGTCATTAATAAAAAGAATTTCCAATGTAAATTAACAGAGACCTTAATTTTTTCTCTATCCTTCGTCACGCGATTCGCTGCTAAAGCCGAGCGACTTGCCTCTCGCGTCGATTTGCGATCAGCGAACGGAAATACTCGTTTTTCTTTTACGCTCGCGTCACGTTAAAAAAAGAACAGGATTTGAAAAGAGGTATATGTATATCACGAGTGATAAAGGGATGACTCGATCGCGACGATTCCGGAACGACGATGGCCTACACAGTGGTCTGTGGTATTCGCGCGATTTATGGACATATTATTCACCCGATGTGTTAATCTGGCCGAATTATTCATATCGCGAGGAAATTGCGAAAAACAAGTTGACGTTGTATATTCGCGCGTTGCTCGTCGGGCCATCTCGACATATAAAAACGGGGTCTGGCCTTCTCGCATTTTCGTCCGTCTTTCCCGAAGAAATGGTTAACACGGACGACTTGATACAAATGTGCTTTTTTTTTTGTGACATAAACGCGAACAATATATAATTCCAGAGGCGAGAGAGATCGTAGCAATCGCCCGATGAACTCCAACCTCTTTGAAACCTCGTTACATAAATTTATTATCATTCCGCCGCTTGGCACTACGTCTCGAAATTATTCGAACGCTCGATGAGCGTGCCTTCGGTAAGTTTAAAGAAAGAAAGAATTATGGCCATGAATTTGTCCAATTCTTTTCGTTTCCTTATCAATTGAAATGAAATTTACAATCGCGCGATATAATCGACAACGTTGTTGTCATCGCTTTTTGGAGGTGATAATAAAAAAATCGCGAGATATCGAATCGATTGTGTATTTTTGTTGTTACATAACAAATATAGTATTATATGTCCGTTCCTGTTGCTGTGCTATATACGTTAAATAAATAATTGATTAATTGCTTCTCATTGTGTACAATAGTCAGTATTCTTCCTCTTGTCCCCGGCACGGTTTATCCTAACCTAACCTAACCCCAACCTAATCTTACTCCAAGTTGTGTATTGTAAACAGAGAGCGATGTATATATTTAATAATGTCGGATTCTACATCATTAAGAAAATTTTAAATAAGTCGGTGATGGTGAATATCAAAATGTTATCGTCGCGCATGCTTATATCTATACATTCGGTCGATATGACAGATTGCTTAACCTAAAGATACGTCACATTTTCTTTTGACAGTTATATAGCGTTTTTTTTATAGTGTCGCCGATTATATCTATTCTATCGTTTTACTTATTCGTCTTATTCTCTGCGCGTTGCAATAACGAGTGCGAGGCAAAATTATATAAAATTGAATTTCGTGAGAAGTATTTCGTTTTTTTTTTTTTTTTTTCCCCCCCGAAAAGAATTCATTTTCAACAATTAGTTACTCGTATAAAGCATATACAATTACATCATACTGAAAGTTATCAACATTCATGCAGATTACTCATGTTTTTGTGATCATGAGAGGGCCATGCTAATAATTCCGTGTTAATAATTCCTTCAAAAAAGGAAAGGAAATTTAAAAGTTAATTCCAATTAATTCCAAGAAAAATGGTGTTGGAACTGATAAGAATAATGGATTACTTAAAGGACCCTCAATTAGTCGCGTCGATTCAACAATTTTTTGGTGTTGAAATATATTATGATAAACATAGTAAAATAATTCAAAAGGAGAAAAAAAAATGCATTTACACACAAATTGATGATAATGAAAAAAATTATGTTTCAACTTCACATATTAAAAAAATTAATGGCTATGAAGTAAATAGTAAACAGTCGAATGCTTGCACAAAGCAAATAGACTTTTTACAACAGGAAACAAAGGAACCAATAACTGAGCACAAAGAAACTGAAATAATTTCAAGCAATCCAGATTATACAATCACTAATTCATTCTGGTATTATTTATTTGTATTTGGAACCGAATTGGGAGATGAAATTTTCTATTCCATGTTCTTCCCTTTCTTATTTTGGAATGTTGATGGAGCTGTTGGCCGAAAAATAATCTTAATATGGGCCATTATCATGACTATTGGTAAAATCAATTCGTAATAAAAAAAAGATATGTATATACAACTTTAGTGTGATCAATCTTTAAATTTATCTTATACATTTTCCAGGACAGATACTAAAAGATGTAATTTGTTGGCCTAGACCAGCTTGTCCTCCAGCAGTCAGATTACAAAATAAATGGTCACAAGAATATGGAATGCCATCTACTCATGCCATGGTTGGTTTTTCAATCCCATTTAGTGGAATATTATTTACAATAAATAAATATATTTATCCATCTTCTATTGGATATGTTATTGCATTTCTCTGGTAAGTGAAATATGAACGTTGATCAACATTTGCTCGTACTATTAACTATAAAATAATCGAACTCGACAACATGCAAGATTTTTTTAGGTGCATACTTGTCAGTATGAGCAGATTATACCTGGGTATGCATACTGTGCTAGATATTATAGCTGGAATAATATTGACAATTGTATTAATGATTCTATTGGTGCCCCTAGTGGATTTAACAAATTCTTACATCATTACAAATTTTTGGCTCGTAGCAATACTGATTATAATCAGTATCATCACTATCATATATTATCCAACCAGCTATAAGTGGACACCCACTAGGTAAATGTAGATAAATCATTATTACACACAATTAAATTATAAAATATATTAACTTTTATATTTATCTGTAATTTTTAATTCATTTCAGAAGCGACACTGCCATGATTGTGTCAGTCGCAGCAGGAGTTCATGTAGGAACGTGGCTTAATTATTTTACTGGTGTATTAAGAGCATCGCAATCTTCGCCACCATATCATATCATTTGGCCAACGTATTCTATGCTTGGTCATCTGATTCTTAGAACAGTGCTTGGTTTTTCAGGTGTTGTCGCAACAAAAGTTGTCTGTAAATTTCTTAGCTATTTTATACTATGTAGTATATTACAAATTAATTGGAAGAAACTTATGAAATGTCAAGACTATGATGGCAATCGAAATAAGGTGTTCGTCGATCTAGTCTACAAATATGCGTCTTGTTTCATGATAGGTGTAAATGCCATGTATCTATTGCCACAGATTTTTAGCATGATAGGTATCGAACGACCAGCATTTTATACAGAAATATGAAAAACTTAACGTATACAATTTTGTTATTCAATTTATATTGCTCTGTGAAATATATTTTATATCTTGTTTGTTTATAAAGCGCTTTTATAATTTAGCAAAGTTATTTATTTTCATTTTTCCAGATTATATAAGATTATACGTCTGTTTTGAAAAATCAAACAATGATTGACAGATATTAGAAATGCAAACTACAATGAGATATTTTAATTACTTTGATAAAGTATAAAATAATTTCAAAATTTTTTTTTACGTGAAAAAGCCAAAAGTAGAATTATTTTGTAATTTTTATAATTTTATTTTTATTCTATTAATATATCTATTCGTAACATCTGAAAAATAAAGAAATATATATATATATATAGATATAGATATGTGTGTGTGTGTGTGTGTGTGTGTGTGTGTGTGTGTGTGCGTG